TGGAGATCTAGGACGGAAGCCGCCTCACCTCTGTATACCGAGTGCTGAGAAAGGAACCCGTTACTTCGGTACTTTTGCCACACATACGCATATATATACACACACACACACACTCACACAGATGGTTTTGAACTAAACCAGAATTGACAAATATAACGTTATGGAGAGACATCCAATTATGTACAATCACATGGCCCTGGATTACCCGCATAGGCCGGGAATGACAGTCCGGTAGAGCAACGAGCAGCCTAAACTGGATGGATACCTACCTGGCTGAAAGAATCTACTACTATCTACTACTAACGTATATAGTGCAGGCAAATTATATTCAAGAATGTTCCATACTCCTCTTCCTAAAAATATCCTTGCATGTATGTCCATCTTAGACCCAAGTAACGTTACAAGTAAGACCATGCTGCATGGATCATGAATCTCAAATCTCAGGTCGAATTCAGTATTGTAAAAAAATGTACATTTGTAAGTTACAGATTTGTCATTTTGGCCTATCTCAATTATCCACCATCATTGGGTTATACCCAGCCTACTAAACAAAACTTTGTTTTCTAGAATCACCATCACTAAAGATACCAAGGTTCCCAATGCTGCCATCTTCACTGTAAACAAGGAGGACCACACACTGGGCAATTTACTTCGAGCGTAAGTATGCTCAGGCATGGTGTCATCAGGACACTTTGGCCCCTGGACAGTAAATGGTCCAACATTCCGCCCCAAGTCCAGGACGGTTCAGCCCTGTAAAAGTAAAGGTGTCCTCCCTGGCTAATTTGGCATTTTAGCTTTCCATCATTTTCTCACAAAGAAATTTAGAAAGAACTGTAGTTGTACTGAATATTTAAACCTGGGTACAAAAGGGTTATGAAGATGATTTTATGGACTATATGGATGACGTCATCACATTTTATTGCCCCAAATGTAAATTATTTTTAAAGTTATAATATAGCACTTTGACACAAGTAACTGAAATAAAAGTATGATTTTCATGTGCAAAATGGTCAAAGCTACGTTAACATTGCACAAATTGATATCTACTAATTATCCGTAGTTATTAGAGAATAACCTAATTGCCTAATTAAAATCTAGTTATTCTCTAATAACTACGGGTAATTAGTAGATATCAATTTGTGCAAATGTACGTTTGTAGCTTTGACCATTATGCACATGAAAATCATACTTTTATTTCAGTTACTTGTATCAAAGTGCTATATTATAACTTTAAAGATAATTACATTTGGGGCAATAAAATGTGATGACGTCATCCATATGGTCCATAAATTCATATTCATAACCCTTTTGAACCCAGGTATCAATATTCAGTACAACTAGTATCTCTCTACAGTTCTTTCTAAATTTCTTTGTGAGAAAACGATGGAAAGCTAAAATGCCAAATTAGCCAGGGAGGACACCTTAAATCTGAAACAGAAAACACGTTGGACTGTAAAAACACTGGGAAAAATGTAAAAGCACATGGTGGGGTAAAAACCTGTCATTTAGTATGTCTGACAATCTACTGAACTAGCAGCGCATTGTCAATCAGCCGCGAGGGACGATTTGCTGCCGAGGGAGTTTTTGCCGCGGAGAGAAGGATTCCCGCTCCAACATGACTGCTTCCAGTCGGCGACTAAAAAGGGCTATTAAAAAACACGAACATGTTAATAGCCTCTATAAAAGGCTGGCTTAATCCAAGGTCCTCTATAGTCACCGACTGGAAGCAGTCTTGTTGGAGCGCGAATCCTTCTCTCCGCGGCAAAAACTCCTTCGGCAGCAAATTGGCCCTCGCGGCGGCATATTACTAACGTCGCTCACAGAAAAAATAACGCCGACGCCCAACAAGACTGCGAAGGAGGCTCGTCTCTTCTTGTGACACTGTCACAACCACATCAGTTTTAATGGCAGAACTAAAGACAGAAGTGTGGTATCAGGGAGGGGTGGCAAAATCAATGATAGTAATGTTCTAATATCTTTAGCTAATGGTACACAAGGCATTCTTTTATACCTTTGATCAGGACTGGTGACGTAATTTCCATGTTATGTTCTGATGTAGGCAGCTGCTGAAGGACCCACAGGTGATATTTGCGGGGTACAAGGTGCCCCACCCCTGGAACACAAGTTTGTGCTGAGAGTGCAGACCACACCTGACTACAGCCCGCAGGAGGCCTTCACTAACGCTATCACAGACCTCATCAGCGAAGTCTCTCTACTGGAGGAGAGATTCAAGGTGCTGTACAGTCATTCAAGTTTGAAGCTTTAAGTGAAAAAAGTGAAGTGTAATAAAGTATAATAGTAAAAATCAAGAGTTAAAAAACTATTTACTTATTATTAGTGCTGCATACTGGTTCACTGGACTTGGATCCGGACTTGTAAGAATGTTAAGCTTTAAGTCCAAAGAAACCTAAAAGTCAAGAACCGAGTCTGGACTTACTACCATAAAAGACAATTTCACATACACCTTTTCTTTCCAAACCATCTAAAACCTTCCATAGATTGTAAAATCTTTGCTGCAAAATGAAGGAAACATTGCCATCGGGCATCGTTAAGTGTCGGTCTCCATGTTATGTGGCCAAAGTTTCACCCAGACAACATTGCAAGGTTGCCAACATGCAATTTTGTATATGCCATGGGTTTAGCTCCGGACTTACAAGTCCAGAACTGAACCTAAACCTCTGGACTTGAATCTGACCTGAACCTAAAATTTGGTTTAGGTATGCATCACTACTTATTATATGTATCTCACTAACTCATTCACTATCCGGTTTGCCGTCTGTTGTTCCGTCTTCCGAGTGTTAGATGTGCTTGCAGCTTCCACTGCAGTACCTAAACAAGACTTCCGAGATCTCATACCTCCATGAAATATGGGCTTGACATGTAAATGTTAATTTCTTCTTTAATTATGCAAATTACCTCCACATTAACATAATAAATGCATCGTGATGTTAACTTTTGATGAACTTACACATGTACCAAGTACGAAATTCCCATCACCACTAAGGAGTCATAGAATTTTCGCATTAATTATGCAAATTAGGTCATCATTTGCATAATTGGTATCTGGTGATGTTCCATCTGCCATAGATTACATACATGTATGAAAGTACTATAATGCAAAACACTGTAATTATAGAATTTCCTCATTAATTATGCAAATTAAGTCCTCATTTGCATAATTTGCAGTTAATTATGTACATCTCTCTCTCAGCTACCTACCTACCAAAAATGATGAAAATACATTGTTTCTATCTGGACTTATTGGCTTTTAAAGATTTCGCCCGAAAGTCCCCTGCAGTTCCAGAACAAGCTGCTAGGGGGACCAAACCCACACCACTTATTCCTGACAAGACAATCTATCTGCCACCAAAAATCAAGACCATAGCATATTCAGGACAAAAGATACAAAAACCGGAAGTTCTGCTGCAGTACCAAGGTCATCCACCAGGAGGCGTATATTTGACCTTGACC